TGCTTTTCTACCTAGGTATAATTGCAAAATTACTTGGTTTAAATCACTTTCTTTATCTTGATTATTAAAGAGTAACTTCTAAAAACTTTTTGCGCACAATACTAAGCTTGGTGGTTAGATGGATGTTCAATATGTATAGCCAAAAGAATTATCACGTTTAAGTGCACTGTTTTTTTTATATTCACACATCTTTTGGGAGTGAGTGGAGAATTGAGAAAACAACTGATGAGCTAAATTTATATACATATTAATAGGGAATTTTTACTTTGATATTATTGATATTTGGATGTGTTTTATGGGATTTTGTTTGATTTTACATGGTTTCCATTCTTTGTGTAGGAAAGGATTTAATTGGAAGAAATCATACTTTTTAGAAATAAATTGAAGAGATCAAAGACTTGAGGATCAACTTGTGCAGAACCCAGAAGTCAGGAACCAAATCTGCTATTTTACCATTGAAGAAATTGCAAAAGGAGGCCAAAAACCTGACACGGGTGTAGTGTCGACACGTAACCGAGATGTCGACACCATGCGCTAAACGTCCAGAATCAAATTCTGTTTCCTATTTTGTGTCAACACGTAATCCGAAGTGTCAGCACCACGTGATCAGCATCTAAAATTCACTTTCCTATTTTTATTCCAAGTCCTACTTCTATTTCAATTAGGGTTTTTAAAATCTTATAAATACCTATCCAAATTCAGAAAGAAGAGAGCTTTGGAGAGGCTGGTGGCAGCCCTTTTTTGGGTATTCTTGAAGATCAAGAGAAAGGATTCAATAATAGAAGATTAAGGAGTTCGAGTTCCTCAAATTGGGTTTTGTTTTTCCTTGGGTTTTTATCTATTGTTTGATATTTGAATGTTCATAATTTTGATTTTATATTTTATTATTTTTATTATGAACTGATTTATTCTACTAGGGTTATGATGTAGCCTAATCAATTCAATATAGATTTTGTGATTTTATATTTTCAATTAAAGTTATTTACATGAAGAGTTTATATTATTGAACTTAATGCATTGGAAGCCTCATCATCTTTCAATTGATTTAGTGATTTATGCATGGACTTGAGAAAGAATTGCGTAGATTAGACCAATAATAATATAAACCGTGTGCTAGACTATGAGACCGAGAGGTAATTAGCTCACATGTGGTAGTGGAGGAAGAGAAGAGAGTTAGTAGTTCCCCCTTCTTAAGCTAGAGGTTTTCATAAAATCTAATGCTCATTAGTTTGTTTAAAATTACAAAAAAATATGATTAATTTAACAAATCAGTGAAAGATTAACTTGACTTGAAAAAGCTAGTTAATTAATTTAGGGAAATCCGTCATCACATGCAATAACACTCAACAATTTAGTAATCCAGAATTTATATTGATTGATTATGGTGAAGTCAATGCCTTAGTATTTCATATCTTGATTAGGTTTAATTTAATTGTTATTTTCCTTTTATTAATTTTTTAGTTAAACTTTCTTCCCATTTGGTTGTTTAAATAAATTTGGATTAATTATTTTGATACTTAGTTAGATACAATCCTTGTGGGTTCGACACTCTTCTCATCATTATATTACCTGGAGCGACTAGTACACTTGTTAGGGTGATTTTAGTGCATCAACAACTTATGAACTTTCATTGTTTAGTTGAATTGGTTAGTTACTATTTAGAAGGTCGCTACTCATTTGGAGGAATGGTTGAATGATTAGCTGATGAAAAAAAAAAGAAAAGAAAAAGGAAAAAAAAAAAAAGAAAAGAAAAGAAAGAGGGCTATTATTATGAAATGTGAAGCCTTTGGAATGGTTCATGTGATGAT